TGTTTATGCAAAGACGTGGAAATTAACTGTAAACACGGCCAAGACAAAAATTGTTGTTTTTAGAAATGGTGGCCGGTTACGAAATGATGAGGTGTGGTCTTACGATGGAAAACCATTAGATGTTGTCGAACAGTTTACATATTTGGGAGTTGTTTTTAAATTTAACAATAAGTTTAATGCTGTACAAAAGCAACTCTCTGAGCAAGGGCGAAAGGCTATATTTGCATTGTATGCTAAATGTAAAAATATGAATCTAAACTGTCATACGTTGGTAAAGTTATTTGATACATACGTGAATAGTATACTGTGCTATGCATCTGAAGTTTGGGGTGCATGCAAAGGCAATGATGTCGAGAATGTCCATTTAGAATTCTGTAAAAGGATTTTATGTGTTAAAAAGTCCACTTGTAATGTTATGATTCATTTTGAACTGAGTCGATTCCCTATTATATATACTCGGCTTTATAATATGATTAAATATTGGTTCAAGTTATTGAATGCCAAGAACTGTATCTTGAAAACTGCCTATGATGAATTATTGAAAATGCCCAAGCGCAATAATGTTTTTAATTGGTTGTCCTTTGTGAAGGTTAACTTTTTTCACTCGGGTTTGGTGATGTGTGGTTAAATCAAAATTTTCATAATATATCTGAGGTTTTACCACTTATTAAACAACAAATTTTTGATCATGCTAGACAAGAACTTTCTGAAATGTTAGAGAATTCACCAAAATGTCACTTGTATAGACATTTAGTAACTACTATATCATTACAACATTATCTATGTAAATATATACCCAAGAAACAAAGAATTGCACTTACAAAGATACGTTTGTCTGCACATATATTGCATATTGAAACAGGACGATATAGAAATATTGTAAGGAATGAATGCTATTGTAAAATATGTAAGTCTGTAGATATAGAGGACGAATATCATTTTTTGCTTATTTGTCCTATATACGAAGAGCTCAGATCAAAGTGTATAAAAATGTATTACTCGAGAAAACCATCTGTTCTTAAGTTAATACAATTACTGTGCTCAACAAATGTAAAAGAACTAACCAGGTTTAGCAAATATATATATGATGCCACTAAATTGAGGAAGACTATGATATAATGACATTTAAATGTGTTCAAATCTTTTGTCCATTCTCCACTGCGTTTTGCAGTGTCTGCCAATGTATTTATATTGTTACATGTACACTGATGAGCTGGAAAGCTTAAAGTTAATAAAGAATAGATTAGAATAGAATAGTGTATATATGTTGATGAGGTTATACCTGTGTATATATATGTTGATGAGGTTATACCTGTGTGTATATATGTTGGTGAGGTGATACCTGTGTGTATATATGTTGGTGAGGTTATACTTGTGTGTATATATGTTGGTGGGGTTATACCTGTGTGTATATATGTTGGTGAGGTTTTCCCTGTGTATATATATGTTGATGAGGTTATACCTGTGTGTATATATGTTGGTGAGGTGATACCTGTGTGTATATATGTTGGTGAGGTGATACCTGTGTGTATATATGTTGGTGAGGTGATACCTGTGTGTATATATGTTGGTGAGGTGATACCTGTGTGTATATATGTTGGTGAGGTTATACTTGTGTGTATATATGTTGGTGAGGTTATACCTGTGTAGCTCCATCTATCTCGTCTATAACTAGACAGTTTGGTCTAGGATCTGCTTCCAGAACAGACTTCATTTGAGTGTATATATGTTGATGAGGTTATACCTGTGTGTATATATGTTGGTGAGGTGATACCTGTGTGTATATATGTTGGTGAGGTTATACTTGTGTGTATATATGTTGGTGGGGTTATACCTGTGTGTATATATGTTGGTGAGGTGATACCTGTGTGTATATATGTTGGTGAGGTTATACTTGTGTGTATATATGTTGGTGAGGTTATACCTGTGTAGCTCCATCTATCTCGTCTATAACTAGACAGTTTGGTCTAGGATCTGCTTCCAGAACAGACTTCATTTGAGTGTATATATGTTGATGAGGTTATACCTGTGTATATATATGTTGATGAGGTTATACCTGTGTGTATATATGTTGGTGAGGTGATACCTGTGTGTATATATGTTGGTGAGGTTATACTTGTGTGTATATATGTTGGTGGGGTTATACCTGTGTGTATATATGTTGGTGAGGTTTTCCCTGTGTATATATATGTTGATGAGGTTATACCTGTGTGTATATATGTTGGTGAGGTTAAACCTGTGGAGCTCCATCTATGTCGTCTATAACTAGACAGTTTGGTCTAGGATCTGCTTCCAGAACAGACTTCATTTGAGTGTATATATGTTGATGAGGTTATACCTGTGTATATATATGTTGATGAGGTTATACCTGTGTGTATATATGTTGGTGAGGTTTTCCCTGTGTATATATATGTTGATGAGGTTATACCTGTGTGTATATATGTTGGTGAGGTTTTCCCTGTGTATATATATGTTGATGAGGTTATACCTGTGTGTATATATGTTGGTGAGGTGATACCTGTGTGTATATATGTTGGTGAGGTTATACTTGTGTGTATATATGTTGGTGGGGTTATACCTGTGTGTATATATGTTGGTGAGGTGATACCTGTGTGTATATATGTTGGTGAGGTTATACTTGTGTGTATATATGTTGGTGGGGTTATACCTGTGTGTATATATGTTGGTGAGGTGATACCTGTGTGTATATATGTTGGTGAGGTGATACCTGTGTGTATATATGTTGGTGAGGTTATACTTGTGTGTATATATGTTGGTGGGGTTATACCTGTGTGTATATATGTTGGTGAGGTGATACCTGTGTGTATATATGTTGGTGAGGTTATACTTGTGTGTATATATGTTGGTGGGGTTATACCTGTGTGTATATATGTTGGTGAGGTGATACCTGTGTGTATATATGTTGGTGAGGTTATACTTGTGTGTATATATGTTGGTGGGGTTATACCTGTGTGTATATATGTTGGTGAGGTGATACCTGTGTGTATATATGTTGGTGAGGTTATACTTGTGTGTATATATGTTGGTGAGGTTATACCTGTGGGGCTCCATCTATCTCGTCTATAACAAGACAGTTTGGTCTAGGATCTGCTTCCAGAACAGACTTCATTTGAGTGTATATATGTTGATGAGGTTATACCTGTGTATATATATGTTGATGAGGTTATACCTGTGTGTATATATGTTGGTGAGGTGATACCTGTGTGTATATATGTTGGTGAGGTGATACCTGTGTGTATATATGTTGGTGAGGTTATACCTGTGGGGCTCCATCTATCTCGTCTATAACAAGACAGTTTGGTCGAGGATCTGCTTCCAGAACAGACTTCATTTGAGTGTATATATGTTGATGAGGTTATACCTGTGTATATATATGTTGATGAGGTTATACCTGTGTGTATATATGTTGGTGAGGTGATACCTGTGTGTATATATGTTGGTGAGGTGATACCTGTGTGTATATATGTTGGTGAGGTGATACCTGTGTGTATATATGTTGGTGAGGTTATACTTGTGTGTATATATGTTGGTGGGGTTATACCTGTGTGTATATATGTTGGTGAGGTGATACCTGTGTGTATATATGTTGGTGAGGTTATACCTGTGGAGCTCCATCTATCTCGTCTATAACTAGACAGTTTGGTCTAGGATCTGCTTCCAGAACAGACTTCATTTGAGTGTATATATGTTGATGAGGTTATACCTGTGTGTATATATGTTGGTGAGGTGATACCTGTGTGTATATATGTTGGTGAGGTTATACTTGTGTGTATATATGTTGGTGGGGTTATACCTGTGTGTATATATGTTGGTGAGGTGATACCTGTGTGTATATATGTTGGTGAGGTTATACCTGTGTGTATATATGTTGGTGAGGTTATACCTGTGGGGCTCCATCTATCTCGTCTATAACAAGACAGTTTGGTCTAGGATCTGCTTCCAGAACAGACTTCATTTGAGTTGCAGCCTCAATCTTGGTTTTGAACACATCTACACTGCGGTCATCACTACAACAGCAATTGACCACTTATAAATATTTCACAGTTTTAAATGATTGACCAATGCAATGATCACATTCGCCTGTCTAGTCAAACATATTAAAGGATATATATGTAAATCCTCATTCAGCCACCATTAATTTTCCTAAGATATTAATCTATTTTCGCCAAAAAGAAAGTATTGCAAATGATCAAAATTTTCACTCACTCACAAAAGTTTATACCTTTCTATCAAATATAACATGAACGAACATCTGAACAATAAAACTGGGAACAGATACTGTTAAAGACAACAATCAATGATGCATTAAGGATAATAAGGATATCTTTAGTTTAGGACAACATGTTGGTTAATAGCATTTTTTCAGAGGGGCAAAAACTTAACTTGCAAAAATATGTAAGTAACAAATTTTTTGGAAATTGACAGCATTTTTCTAGTAGTTATGTGTTACATGTAATTTCAGACTCTGATATTAAACGTTTACCTGGCATTGATCTCGACCATGTTGTAGCCAGCATGTCGAGCCAAAATGTGAGCAAGAGTTGTCTTCCCTAGTCCTGGTGGACCATTCAGTAGAGCAACCTACAAAGATCAATGAGATCTTACAATCACTTGTTCATTGGTGTATTTA